TGCTCGGACCCCGTCCGGGGGGCCTCGGCACTGGGCGCCGCTCGGGCACCGGGGGGCTCCTGGGATCGAGCCGGCTCGGGAGAGGGCTGCTCGTGGTGCTCTGCCATCGCCAAGAGGGCCGAAGGTGGCTCGAAGCTGGCCCAAGACGGCCCAAGAGGCCTCCAGGAAGGCCAGAAAAAGGGCCAAGAGCACTTCTTTTCCTTATAGGTTTTTGAAGGAGTTTGGCATTTGCTTCTTTCTGGCCTTCCGACGGCCCGAGGCGGCCCAAGAGCCCCCGAAGATTGCCCAAAGATCGCCCAACAGGCCTCCAAGATGGCCCCATGACGGCCCAAGAGGCTTTCTGTTTCCGCGGTGCCAGATCTCCGGGAACGCCGCATCGCCGATGCATCGGCGAGGCGGCTCGATGTGGAGCCCGAGGTTCTCTACCCCGGCGTCGCCGATGCTTTGCCAATGCATCGCCGAGGCATCGCCGACGCATGCGCGATCTTCTGACCCCATCTCTTCGGACCCATTTGGGAGGACTCTACGAGGATCGAGGTTCACGTGAACCTTGAGGATCGAGGATTCAGGTTTCTGGTGTTCCTAAGCTTCGTTGGTCCTCCTGGTCACCACGTACCCGGTCCTCCTCGAACTTTTAGCTGGAGCGCATCCCGGGATAGATCCAGGGGCCGATCTTGAGTCGCGACAAGGGAGGATCGAGGATAGAGGCGACGACGACTATGAAGGATCTGGGATCGAGGTTTTTGCATGGTTTGATCCCTTTTTGGGTTTCCGGGGCGCCCTCGTGGTTACGGCTGGATCCGCCTCGAAAGTCTGGTCGGAACGCACAACGGAACAATTTTTGGGGCGGGGGGGCCCATACAGTGAAGACCCATTGCAAGAAACATCCTGCTTGCCTCCAGGGTGCCCTGGGTTTCTGTGATTTCGATTGTTTCTTTCTATGGAAATAGTGACGCTCCCACGCCAAAAATCGATGGACGTCCTGGGGTCTCAGGGTTGGGTTTCTTTTGGAAGGTTTCTTGTGGTCGGATCCCTACTGTACCTTCATCGTATTGGCAGACACCAGGAGGAATATCTGCCGTCACGTTCTGCCTCCAGGGGCTACCTCCTGCCCCCGTGGCCGGCACAAGAAAAACAGCCCAGGACGAAGCACTGCTCCTCGGGAATGGGTTGCTACTTTCAGTGCCCGCTCATTCAGAAAACAACAGCGGAGATCTGCGCTTTCCCTCCCTTCCTCCAGGAGGAGAAGGAGGAGGAGGAGGAGGAGGAGGAGGAGGAGGAGTTGGAGGGCGAGAGGC